CTCATGGAAAGCGAACGGAGTGGGAAAACTGACCTTGAAAATCCTGCGCGACATTTAGACCTTCATCAGGCGCGGCGTTCAGGTCAGTATTTGGCATGAGGTTCTGCATTTTGCTCTTCTTTTCTGCGTTTGCGCACGCAAACAATGCCTATATACAACGAGGTCTTGAGGATCCCTATGCGGAGACACCTAAATGTGAGCAAATACGCATCAAGGCATGCCAGGATTTGCCCTATAACATTACCATATTTCCCAACGATATGGGCCAGTCAACGCAGGAAGAGGCCGGTCAAGAGATCGGACAGTATGCTTCGCTGATCAGAATACGGTGCAGCCCTTCATTGAAGTTGTTCTTGTGTTCTTTGTACTTCCCTGTGTGCACGGGAATGAAGAAGCCTCTACCGCCATGCCGTTCTCTGTGCGAGCAAAACAGACGGGATTGCGAACCACTCATGCGCGGGTTTCGGTATGATGTGAGTTATCCATTTTTGTAGTGAACCTTGGTTAAAGTGGCCGCCAGTTATGGATTGTGCACGCTTTCCAGAAGATTCGCTATGTATATCCGAAAATAAAACCGAACAAACGCCGAAAGAACCTTCCTTCACGTGTCCAGCACACATGCGGGTAAACGAACTACCAATCATTTCATGTCTTCAGGTTCCTCCCAGTTTTGACTTCCGAATACGGATGGAAGGTGGACAAGTCATACCTGACTGCGGGATTCCATGCAATGAGTTTCTGTTCAGTGACTCTTCCTCGCGCCGTTTCTCGAGACTTTGGATTGGTCTCTGGAGCTGCTTGTGTGCTGCCTCCACTCTGTTCACAGTACTAACTTTTCTCATTGACATGCCGCGCTTTCAATACCCGGAGCGCCCAATAATCTTCCTGTCAGCATGTTACCTTGTGGTTGCGTTGACATACGTCGCCGGTTTCATACTAAATGACAAGGTAAGTATTCTGGGAAAGTATAAACAATTCTTATTTATTGCATCGATATCCACTTATATGACTTTTGTTCCTTGCCTCGGTGTTCTTAGTTTGTCATATGAATCTGTCAACGTGGTTGCAACCTGGCCTTGGAGATGAATCAAATTGTGTCTCATGAGTTTCAAAAGCGATCAGCTTTTCGGTTCGGCTTTGCACCCCTTTATTATAGTGCAGTGC